GTGGTGAAAGATTGTTAAAAACGTATTTGACGTTTTTTTTTTTTATTTTATTTTTGTGTTTATTTCTTTTTATAAATTAAAGAAATAATAAAAATAGATGACCGAATAAAAATTATAAATTGTAGTTTTAAAAAATAAGAAGTAAAGAAATTGTCTTCAGAACAAATCCTAAATCCTAATCGTTAAGTGTTTAAACCAGTGTTTTAAACTTATAATTTCATATTTTAGGCTTGGTTGGATAGCTTTCTTATTCTTTCTAAAACAGTTTTTAGAATAAAAATTTTTTGTAATCGAAAGCATATTTAAAAAAAGTATAAATAAACAATATTCCAAAACAAACTCAATTAGTTTATATAGATATTGTTAGTTAGTGTATTACACACACACTCATGCGAGCCAATGTAGTCACGTGGATGCGCATTGCGAAGCCACTACTCCTGCTTATAACTACACAACGAAAGACCCACTCGTTCTAGATTTTAATAACCGAACTCTTGATGATCGACACGTCATACACTTGTAAAGCACCACAGCATACCTGATATAAGTCAGACCTCGCTGACGACGTACATATGATGGACAAGAAAACTATGGCTCGAAGAAAAGTGATTATTTTCTACTGATAAGATACTGATTTTTATCGGATTTGCTTCTTTGCTCTTTGTTGTTTTAGTTCTTGGATTGTTTTTAGCATGATCAGAGCCAACTGCTATCATTCTAGATTCCGAAAATACACAATCTCCATTTCACACACTGAGTGGAAATACCACAATGTCCTTAACTGAAACCTTGTCACTATACCCTTCTCAGTTAGTTCCTATCTCCAAATCAAAACTTGAGTTCCTTACCATTTCTAATTGAACAAACTATCCACTGGAGGTCACAGAGCTGAACACATTCATAGCCAATAACTAGTGGATTCTCAATGGCAGCTCCGCTTTCCTCTAGCCTTCTCAGCTAGTGACCACACAGGCACTGGCTGTCAATCAATTCAAGATTACTATCGACTGGACACTAGGAGTAGACTCTAGCAAATTCGTTAGATTCACTGTGTTCATACAACCCTCAAAGTGTGCTCTTGTATGATACTTGGACAATCTTTAAAATCTGCTAAACTCATAAGGTCGTATTAGGCTACTAAACCGCTCAGAAGTTAATAGCGCTTAAAAACAAATGAAACATCACAGCAGATGAACATGCGATATCTTACCTGGAATATGGTAGACATATTGCTCTATGCAGTGATTATATTGACTAGTGAAGGAATATACTTCTCACTATACACTCAAGAGTTATCCCACAATACCAGACGTTCAAGACAGCCTTTGACACCAAGACTACATCATTAGTTTAGAAGTCTCTATTCTATATTAGTGGAAATTAACTCGACATTGAATCGGTTAAAAGGATCATACGCTCCCAAACCCCAGCAATTTAGTTCTGTCGCGTCGAAAATGGTCCGGGTACAAGTCACGACTGTGAGACATTGGAGCAAAAACACAAATGCTAGTTTTCATGTCAAAACAAAGTATTGTGGAAAAGAGGGACATTATGCAAATCATATATTGGCATTATTTGATCTTTATATCTGACTCCAACTGCACAACCAAGCACTTGTTGCATCCAAAAACATCACATGTAGCTGACTAGATCTCTGAATTCTGGAGATCTCTCACATGACAATAGTAGGACATCTAACTATGTATGAAGATTATTGGCTCAGACAACATCTATTGGGAGATGTCAAAGCCCTCCAATGCTCACTCTGGCAAGGCATTACTCCTACCCTGCACATCGGAACATTACGCTCTCTTCAACATTTCTTCATTTACCTCCCTAGAGCTCACAACGCTTCTTTATGTATCTAATTTGCCCATGATATAGTGCTAGCCAGTGCATTATTCTGTGGCTAAGCCACACACAATCATTAAATGGTGTAGACCCATATGCAAGCCGGTGAGATATCTCGCCATATAAACTTCAATGAAGCCATATTCCATATTCTATCTCCACCAGATCTCACGAGTTCTATTAGCCTACCACCATAAAACCCCAACTCTCATCTCCTAGTCCCCAACTATTCTTCTATCATCATCACATCTACACCAATTGCTCCCATCATTACCAACAATTGGCTCCACTTAACATCCTGCTACACCCCCTCTTCTCCAAAGGATCCCAGCATTATCCCCTCCTCTATCACTTCAATACATTCACATCATCTTATGGTTATCCTCGGACAGGACCCGTTACACCCGGCTCTCTCAAACCCCATCAAATTCTTAATATAAGTCACTAACTTACCACTAATACAGCTGAACCTACCACATACATCGAAGCATCAAAACATTCTTATTGGCGAGCTGCAATGGCTTCCGAGTTCCTTGCTCTCCAACAACAAGGCACTTGGACATTAGTACCACCTCCACCTAACAAAACCATTCTTGGATCCCGCTGGACCTACAAAACCAAAACTAACACCAATGGAACCATTGCCAATTACAAAGCCCATTTGGTAGCACAATGTCATCGTCAGGAGTATGGACTTAACTACATAGAAAATTTCATTCATGTAGCTAAATTTCCAACTCTTCGGGTACTCTTAACTGTGGCCTTCAATAACAATTGGCCCATTCATCAGCTTGATATCACTAATACATTTTTACATGGTTCTCATCATGAGAAGATCTATATGAAACAACCCACTGGTTTCGAAGATTATATCAATTCCCTCATCATGTATGTCTTCTTCAAAAGTCCATATATGTCTTTAAACAAGCACATCGACAATGGTTTCATACATTTTCTCAATTTCTTCTATCTAAAGGTTTTCAAAAAAGCCAGGCCGATCCATCCCTCTTTACCTATCATCAAGATAATAATCATGCTTATCTTTTCCTCTACGTCAATGGCATACTCTTTATTGGAAATAATCCACATACATTACTTCACCTCATATCCTCCTTAAGTCAATATTTTTCCATCAGAAATATTGGCCAGCCATCTTGCTTTCTCGGTATTGAGATAGCTCACACTCCCAACAATCTATTTCTTTCCCAGTCAGCTTATACTTGCGCCATCCTACAACAGGCGGGGCTCACCATGTGCAAACCACTCTCTAATCCCTCATATACCAAATTACCCACAAATCTATTAGCTGAATCACACTTCTCTGATCCTATCTCCTACTGCTAACTCACAGGTTCTCTCCGATATCTAACTATCACACGACCCGACATTTCATTTGTGGTCAATACCTTAAGCCAACATCTCCACAATCCACTAACTCATCACTTTCTCCAATTAAAACATCTTCTTCACTATCTATAAGGTACCAATCAATATGACATTCCCATTCTCAAATCCTCACTTCATCTCTAAACATTTTTTGACACTGACTGGGCCACAGATCCTCATACCAGGCGTTCTATATATGGATATTGTTCCTTTCTAGGTGATACTTTAATTTCCTGGACAATTAAGAAACAAATAATTGTCGCACGATCCTCAATTGAGGTCGAGTACTGGGCCTTAGTAGCTGCTACTTCAAATGTTATATGGCTCCGTCGACTTCTTTTAGATTTTCATATAGTTCAAACCGATCCAATCGACATTCAATATGACAATATGTTCGCAATTTCCCTTGCCAATAATCCTATGTTTCATGCCAGAATGAAACACATAGAAGTTGATGTTCACTTCATCAAAGATCATCTTCAAGCCAAGGATACCAGAGTTCTTCCCATCTCCATGACTGACCAGGTTGCAGACATCCTAACAAAATCATTATCTACACCTCGTTTCCAGCTCTTGAGGTCCAAACTAACGATTCATTCTCCACCATTGATTTGCGAGGGGCTAACAACACACCTCAATCAGCATGTGCCAACGACAGGACATGGCAACACATGAAAGCACACTCCAATAACGACACAAGCAAGAACCACTGTAGGATAATAACAACGCTGTTTAATCACAACCATATACTTGTAAAGGCACCACACATACACTTGTATAAGTAGACCTCACATCTATTGTAGTATGGATCAAGAAAAGCTATTACATAAGAATGGAAAGTTTGATACTAGTATGAGTATTTCCTTATTGTTGCTTTCTCTGCTCTTGTGTTTCTTTACTTATTGAGATTGTCTTTAGTTATAAACCTTTCCAAATCATATAAATATGAAAATATGCTAACCATAAAAATGGGGTAAATATGCTACTCTATTTCTCTAAAATTGTATGTATTAAACAACTATTACTTTATTTCTATAAAGTTATATTTACTAATCATTGTTGATTGAGGTCATCTCCAACCAAACATCAAACGATTATTTGTCGTCATAGTGAGCTCCAACCGAACGTCAAATAATTATTTGTTATCACAGTGAGCTCCAACCGAACGCCAAATTCAGCGGCATTTGTGCCACATTATGAAGTATTACTCATTTTGTTCAGTTGGAATTTGGTTAGAGAAAGGATATACTCGATATATTCTTTTTTGATGTTTTGAAATGCCACATTTTAAAGTATTACTGTATTTTGTAGTGTAAAATGAGTATTTCGGTTGGAGATGCCCTAATATAAGTTAGATACTCAGGTTGACTTCAATGCTACATTTGACTACACCAAATAGGACTTTTTTTTTTTTTTTTTTGCGAGAGAAGCCTTAATATTATTTGAGTTTCATGGTGGCTTTTTAGTTCAATTTTAGTGGGGTAACTATTGAAGCATTGCAATATCAAATGCTATTATTATTATTATTTTAAATAATTTAACTTCATATTATATTAAGTATTTCATATTATATTAAGTATTGCATGCACTTTTTTATTATATCAGATTAGTTCCGTTACAGGCCAATTACCTCAAATATCTTATTCTCATTTGTTATTACTCTATACGTAATTATTCTGATAATTTTAATTATACATTACCTTACAGGTGGTAAGCATCATTTTTAGCATTTAATATTCTATTTCTTTTAATTTTTTTTTTTTTTTTTAATTTGATTTAAGTAAAAAGTACAAAATAAAATGATATGGATAAGTTGAGCATTCTCAATGATGAATACAATTACAATTCCAATCCCAATCTCCAACCACCCCACTCGATGCATAAAAAGATAAAGTAATCAGAAAGTCAAATAGATCAAATAAATTAATCAAACAGATCTGCCTTTTCTTTGCAAGGTAAGCAAATAAGTAATAAATAAACCAACTGAATACAAAAGGGATCATGCTCAGATCAGAAGGGCAGAGGGAGATGAGAAGGTGCAGCTGACGAATGCTTTGCCACTGTATGAGACGTGCAGTCGACCACTCGTTTCTAAACGAGTGGACGATGGGAGTAGCAAATTAGGATGAGTCGAAACGAGTGAGATCGGTAGCGCCTCGTTCTTTTTGGAAAAAGAGAAGAGGACGAGGCGGTGCAATTAAGGTTTTTTGGCGATTATATAAAATAAAATGAGCGGGAGCAATGTATCTTCAAATTTTGGAGGGGGCACGATATTACTTGAAGGTATCGCGGTGATACCGATAAATCATTGTAGATATTTCCACCATTTTATAAAATTTTCTATTAAAACATAGCTGATGCATTACTCCACTTGAAGCATCCAATTTGAATTCTAATAATAATATCCCATTTACTTCACCATCACTTTGAACAAAATTTATTAAATGTAATGGCAATCAGCAAAATAATTATATATTTTAAAATACATATGTTTTTATTACTTTGATTTTTTTTTAAATATATATTTAAAATAAATTCAATCAAATTTACTTTCTCTCTCTCTCTATATATAATTTCATCATGGTCCTAAGAGAAATTGACGGCCTTAACGGCTGGTTATGAGTACAAACAATCGCCTATGGCAAATCCCATAATTAAATTTTCCTCATTATGGATCCAACGGTTGAAATTTACCGTTCCATTAATAAGCCGCTCCACATGAAACAAGTCTTCCTATTTCGACGCAGCCCCTCGACCATTCGTATTTCAAATTCGAAATTTGAATCCAAAGCGCGAATCCGACCGTTCACCACTGAGCCGTTTCGAATCAACGGTCTGAAATCCTCCCTACTTTTCAAACAATTCGACCCTTATCAAAACCCTAAGCAGAATGGGGAAAGGGGGAAATACAGACGTTGCGGCTGCTGCCTTCAAAGTTCAAATTATTTATACCCTTATCAACTCCCCCGTTTATCCTTGCCAGCTTCTTGATTCTCTCTTCCTTCCTTTCTTGTACCTGTCCATATCTCTCTTTCTTACTTTCTTAGATCCATATCTCCTTCTATCTCTACGAAGATGCGTGAGATTCTCCATGTCCAGGGCGGCCAGTGCGGCAACCAGATAGGAGCAAAGTTCTGGGAGGTGGTGTGCACTGAGCACGGCATCGATGCTACTGGAAGGTATCACGGTGATACCGATCTGCAACTTGAGCGGATCAATGTGTACTACAACGAAGCCAGCTGTGGACGCTTTGTTCCCAGGGCTGTTCTCATGGATCTTGAGCCCGGCACTATGGATAGCATAAGGTCAGGCCCCTATGGGCAGATCTTTCGCCCGGACAACTTCGTGTTCGGTCAGTCTGGAGCGGGAAACAACTGGGCAAAGGGACACTATACTGAGGGAGCCGAGCTCATAGATTCCGTGCTCGATGTTGTCCGCAAGGAGGCTGAGAACTGTGACTGCCTGCAAGGTACTCTCTCTCTCACATAAGTTGCTGGGTGATTTTTGTTCTTCTGCCTTTAATGTGTTTGATGTTTTGCTTTTGATACTTCTGGTCACAAGATGCTTATTATTGTTGAATTCTGTAACAGTCTTTTTGTATTATTTTTTTTACTCTGATTTGTGCTTGCACTGTGCTCCGTCATGAAGTAACTTGACTATTGTTTGCTATGATCAGTTGATTAAAGTCTCTTCTTTGCTATTCTTTGCAGGATTCCAGGTTTGTCACTCACTGGGAGGAGGAACTGGATCAGGCATGGGAACCCTTCTGATATCCAAGATCAGGGAGGAGTACCCAGACAGAATGATGCTTACATTCTCCGTCTTCCCTTCTCCAAAGGTCTCAGATACAGTTGTGGAGCCCTACAATGCCACTCTCTCAGTCCACCAACTTGTGGAGAACGCTGATGAATGCATGGTCCTTGATAATGAAGCTCTCTACGACATCTGTTTCAGGACCCTTAAACTCACTACTCCTAGCTGTAAGCCCATTCTTCTCTGTGAAATGTTTAAAACCTATTCCAATTTCCATTACCGATATGCTCCGTTTTTTGAACAGTTGGGGACTTAAACCATCTGATATCTGCAACAATGTCGGGAGTAACATGCTGTCTGAGATTCCCTGGTCAGCTCAACTCCGATCTTCGGAAACTAGCTGTTAATCTCATCCCATTCCCGCGCCTGCACTTTTTCATGGTTGGCTTTGCTCCCTTGACCTCCCGTGGCTCGCAGCAGTACCGCGCCCTCACTGTTCCGGAGCTCACTCAACAAATGTGGGATTCAAAGAACATGATGTGCGCCGCAGACCCAAGGCATGGACGCTACCTCACAGCTTCTGCCATGTTCCGTGGCAAGATGAGCACCAAGGAAGTGGATGAACAAATGCTGAATGTGCAGAACAAGAACTCATCCTATTTTGTGGAGTGGATTCCCAACAATGTCAAGTCAACAGTATGCGATATCCCGCCTACTGGTTTGAAGATGGCATCTACTTTCATCGGAAACTCCACTTCGATACAGGAGATGTTCAGAAGGGTGAGCGAGCAGTTTACTGCAATGTTCAGGAGGAAGGCTTTCTTGCATTGGTATACAGGAGAAGGAATGGATGAGATGGAATTTACAGAGGCGGAGAGCAACATGAATGATCTAGTGTCAGAGTACCAACAGTATCAAGATGCTACTGCGGATGAAGAGGGGTATTATGAAGAGGAAGAAGAAGCTCAGGAAGTTTGAAAGGAAGGGAGCTGCTGCAACTTCCAGTTGCAAGCTGAGCTCAGCTTGTAACTGAGCAGAGCTTCGTAATCTTGGTTGAATGGGTGCAGTATTGCAGTAGTTAGTAGTTTATCTTGTTTTAATGTTCTGTTTAGCTCCTGGTTGAAACTTCATTAGCTTTTTCTTTAATTATATGTTATTGTCATCTTGAGATTAGGATGAATTGTTATGAAACTGAAACTCTGGATTCAACCTTTTGTGCAAGCCCTTTTAAGTTTTTTTATTTTATTTTATTTTATTTGATTGGGGTGAGGGACAATGCATGGTAGATTTATTTGGCTTCAAAGTCCTAGTCAAATGTGTGTATGGAGAGAAAAATGAAGAAAAATTAAAAGAATATTCTTCTTTTAAATTATTATTCTTCTATTTGAGAGGTCAAAATAGAAAAACTTCAAGATTTAAAAATTAATATGCACATGTTTAAAGTACATGTGGCTACAAAATTAGTTTTGCTAACAATTAAATTTAAACAGGATATTTATGCACATATTTAAAAAGATGCACATGTTTAAAGAGTGAATATAAACCACACCTAAAGTTTTGTTTGGGATGACTTTCTTATTATTACTCAAATTTTTGTACTTGAAAGCTTTTTTGTTTTTAACTTGAAAGCTTTTTTGTTTTTAACTTGAAAGCTGCTTTAAGCAATAAAAAAGTTATGCTAAACAAAAACAAAGTGCCATGACAAATGAGCGTGCAGATTACATTATTAATAGTTACAATAGTTAGTCTCTAGGTTGATGTTTTAGGATTTGGAACCCCCATAGGATTTAGTCAATGATAAGGTTCTTCATGAAGGTGAAGAAATGCTGAGATGCCCATGAGAGTTTTGACAATGGACGGAAAAAATCATGGCGATAATAGGAGGCAGGAGGTAGAGTGCTGACAGTGAATTTCAGTTGCATCAGCAGATTCTGACTAAGATCATTTATGACTCTGGAGCGACCGCTATGCAACCTTGCAAAGAGGATCTTTGAAGGAATGGAGCAAGGGCTGAAGCCAAGCAAGTTCGATCAATGAAACTAGGGTGATGGTTGGCTCATAAATCCATCCCTTTGAAGATGTCCATGAAGAAAGGTATTGTTGATTTCTAATTGTTGCAAATATCAACTCCGGGAGAAAGAAGAGTAAGAATAAGAAGTGCCATTGCGGATAAAAAAATAAGTACTGTTGTGGATGTTATCATAGGATTGAACGTCTCATGATAGTTGATATCAAGTATTTGATAAAATTCCTTTGCAACAATATGTGCTTTATAACTACGAATGGAGCAATCATATTTTCTTTTGATGCGAAACAAGATTTATAACCAACAAGATTGTGAATATGATACGGAGGAACAAGAATTAAAGTATCATTACAGAGACATGCATTAAACTCATCAAACATTGCTTGGTGCCATTCTAAGATTTAAGAGCTTTGAAGGCATATAGCTTGGTTCACGGGTGCTTTGTGGTGTGGCTACAGCGATGCGAGTATTTCAGATTTTAATTGAATATTTGATTTTTAACTAGAATTTGCATGTCATGAGATGGATTTGAAGATTGGGGGACATGGTAGAGAGGGCATGTAAAGGTTTGAAAGTTTTGATTGTGATGGGTGAAGCCAATAAATGGTTGGTTGAGAAGGAATCTGACATGGAAGGTGATGATGAGGTGTGTGAGAAATGATTATTGTGGCTAATTGGGGAGAAAACTCACATACTTGCGACAAGATCAAAGATGGTAATTGAGCGAAACAATCTATGTGCTAGATACTTTGTAAAGAAAGACGAGAGTCAAACAGGTTGTCCTAGCCGCCTCTGGATTTTTCCTCTCCTCTAGGCGATCTTCTTCTTCCTCTCGCCCGGAGGGCTTCGCCCCCTCCATGGGCCTCTCCTCTCCACCCCCAAAATTCACCCCTCCCCTCTCCACTAACCCCTTAATAACCCTCTTTTTTCCCAACTCAACTGGTCGAATATCGTTAGCCCTGAGTGTCTTTCGTCCAAATATATCCCAGTTTCCTTATGGAAGGAATCTGCTGAAATCGTAGTTTTTCAGAAATCGAAGACTTATGCGGTTGCTGAGAGCTGGTATCTGTCACTGGTTGGTTTTTCGGTTGGTAACAAGCCTTACTTTGTTTCCCTCCTCGCTGCCATGCGAAAAACTTGGAAATTACAAGGTACATTTTAGCTTTTCAATATGAGTGATGGCTTCTTTCTTATCAAATTTTCTTCAATAGTGGATTACGAAATGGTGTGGAATGGGGGTGTTTGATTTTTGTTGGGAAAACCTTTCATCCTCCAAAAATGCACTCCTAAGTTCAAACCGAATAGGGAAGGGCTGTCTTTAGTTCCCATTTGGTTTAAAATTATGGACCTTACCTTGTGTTGCTTGGACTCGGAGGGAATATTGAGAATAGCGAGTAAAGTTGGAATTCCGCTTGCCGTTGACGCTCTTACTGCACAAAAATTATGACTTACCTATGCTAGGGTTTGTGTCCAAGTTAACTGCAAAGCTTCCTATCATGAGTTCATCCCAATCTCCATTGAAGGAGAGATCACCAATCTAAAAATTAAGTATGAATGGAAGGCCTCTTCGTGTGATTTTTGTTCATCCATGTTTCACTCAGTTGCTGCCTGCCCTTCAAAACTTGTAATGGAAAAAGACCAAAAACAGAACAATGCGACTGCTTTTAGGGGAAGAAGCAAGCACATCTCGTGCTGTGGCTAAAGGCAAAAATCGTGATTTTAGCAAAGTTAGAGGCCCGATTTTGAGCATTATTCCCTTTCAAACTACTATATCAAAAGCTCCTCCTCCCAAATATTCCTTCTAATATCCCCTCTTCTTCCACTGTTCCCAGATCTTCCACACCAGATCTTGTAACATCCATTCCAAAATCCAAAGAAATTCTCCCTCCTACAGAAATCATTCATGCTATTACCCCCCTCACAGAAATCCAACCTCCATCAACGATTCCCAATCTAAACTCCCCTTCTAAGGATGCTATTTTGGTGGACATCATCCCCAACATTATCAGCAAACAAAACATCCATATAATTTCCCCTAATAAATTCGATGCCCTGGTGGATCCTCAAAATGATGCTATCCCAAGTTCCTCATCCACCCAGGATGAGGAATCTTCTTCAAAGTCTAGCCTTGTAAACACAAATCATATGAAGAACACAACATTCTCCCACACGAAAAACACCAGAGGCAAGCATTCCAAAAAGCCTCACTCTACCTCATCCAAATCCTAATGACCCTTCCATCCATTGCTTCATGGAACATTAGGGGTTTTAACAACCCTAGCAAGGTTATCGTCTGCAAGAGATTTATTAAGACTCACAAATTGGATATGCTTTGCCTCCTTGAGAATAGGATTCACAGAGACTCTCTCTCTGATCACTCGTTTCAACAATCACACTTGCTCTTTGACCATGAAGAAAGTTGTAATAACTTTTCTTTTTCTACCTCTGGTAGAATATGGGTAAAGTGGTCTTGTAGCAAGCTGCAATTTAATCCCACTTTCATTTCTTCTCAAATGATAAGTGGCATGGTCTCCTTTGGTCCCTCACAGTCCTTATTTATCTCATTTATTTATGGTTCTAATTCGGCTAATGAGCGTAACAATCTTTGGCAGCAAATCCGAGAAATCATCCCAAATCAAGATATGCCTTGGATCCTCATGGGAGATTTTAATTGTTGCAGATTCTAAAATGAAAAAGCGGGAGACTCTCCTCTTCATTTTAGCAGGCTTGGGGATTTTAATTCTCTCATTTTTGTCACCTAACTTCAAGATCTTTCTTCTGCTGGTCTATTTTATATGTGGTCTAATCATAAGTTGAGAATCCTATTGAGATTAAATTGAACCGTGCTCTTGTCAATGAAAAATGGCTCTCTACCTTTCCTAACTCCCATTACCTGATTGGAGATCTCCTATGTTCTGACCATTCTCCGCTTGTGCTTACTGGTGGGATCATAAATGTTAATTATTCCCACTTTCAATTCAAGAATTTTTGGACCTCTATAGATGACTACTGGGGCATCTTACTTGATGTCTTTATGGCTCCATCCCATGGCAATCCACTAGTTGATTTCATGCAAAAACTTAGAAGAGTTAAAGGTATTCTAAAAAGCAAGGTGTGATCTTCTGCAAATACCATTGAGATTTCATTAAATCAGCTCTAGGAAAAACAAAATCTTTTGTCTTCCATCTTGGACTTGGACCCTTATAACCCTTAGACGAATGTTGATATAAAGGTTGTCAATGAAGAAATTGCCAAGTTATCTATTTCTTGGGCCTCTTGGCTTTCCCAAAGGGTAAAAGCAAAATGGTTAAAGGAGGGAGAGGACAATCTCAAATTTCTTTTCTCTAAGATTCGTATGAGGAGAAATTTCAATAACTCGACTATTCTCAGTGCTTTAGGTGATGGAAGTTCTATTAATGCCAAAGAGACCATTTCCTTACATTTCCAAAATCTGTACAATCCCATCATCATTCCCAATCCTAATGTTACTCTTTTTCCTAAGCGTTTGGAAGTTCCTTCTCATATGATTTCTCTCCTGACTGAACCAGTTACTAATGAGGAAATTAAAAATGTTATTTTTTTCTGGCGATTCTTCCTCATCTCTTGGCCTAGATGGCTTCAACTTTCATTTTTATAAAACGAGATGGCATATTATAGGGCCTTCGCTTTGCAAAGCTATTAAGTCTTTCTTTACCAAAGGCTATCTTCCAAATTGTATTAAAGCAACAACATTAGTGCTCATTCCCAAATCTACGCACTCTTCTTCTATTGCAGATTTCAAACCGATATCTTTATGCAACACCTTATATAAGATCATTTCAAAGATCTTAGCCTCCAGACTCAAACACATCATGCCTTTAGTAATTAATCTGTCCCAAGCCAACTTCATTAATAAATAGATTTCTTTTGATAATGTGATATTAGCTTCTAAGCTTTTGGGGTTCTTCAAAAAATGCTCTAATGAAAATTTTTTGTGCGCTAAGCTTGACATTAAAAAGGCTTTTGAGTCCTTATCTAGAGAATTTGTATTACAAAGGATGGCTCAAAAGGGGATTCCGCAAATTTTTGTTAGTTGGGTTAAAACTTAAATTTCCAACGTGCATTTCTCTATTTGTCTGGATGGAGGGTTAGAAGTCTATATTCCTTCTAATGTGGACATTCGACAGGGCTGCCCTTTAAGCCCCTATATTTTCTA